TTTATTTTTTTTTTTTTTGTCGCAAAAATTCTAGTAGTTGTTTATAATTTCTGAAAGACAGAACTTAACCTGTAGTTGATGTGGCGGGGTATTTTGGGCCTTTTATGTTATATATTACATATTGTGGCAATATTGACGAGTTTTATTGAGATTTTTGAGTTTATTTTAAGTTAAGATTAATAATATGAAGAATTTTTGAATTTCAAAATTATGAATAGTTTTTGAGGTTTAAGATTTTTTTTTTTAATTGTGCAAAACTTTGGTATTTTTGAATGCAGGAAGAACACTTTTCATAAAATATTTCAAAATTGTTATTTTACGAAACATTTATTTAAAGCATATAGAGAAACTTGTTATAAAAGATATTGCATCTTAGAGCATTTTAAAGACATTTTTCGAGAAATATTGCCTTTTAGAGCTTTATAGCAAAAAATGATTAAGAAACATTGGGTTTTAGAGCTTTATAGGGAAAAATGTTCAAAAATTATTGGGCTTTATAGAGAAACGTCTTTAAGAATATTGACTTTCAGAGCTTTATAGAGAAAAGCATTTGAGAAATATTGCCTTTTAGAGCTTTATTGTGAAAATTTTAATAAAAGAATATAGGCTTTTAGAGCTTAACAGAGACAAATTTTAAAGGAACATTGGCTTTTTTAGCTTCTTGGAGAAAAAATGTTTAAGAAACAAACCAACTAACATTTCTGAAACTTTGACTTTTTCATTACTGCTATAAAACGCCTTGAAAGGACGTTAATAAGAAGGGCGACAGGAAGACGTCAAAAAAAGATTCAATAAATTCTCAACTAGATTTGGGGTATACAAAATTTTTAAATATTATACTATACTTCAGCAAATGATATAAACATATATTTTTGCCAATCTTATAAATTTCAAAAATCAACAGTTGTCTACTTTTTCCAAACATTATAGGGTTAAAAACCCGATCACTTCATACCCAGCGCCACATCTACAATGAGCTTATTCAACTGCGGCATTATTTCGCTTTTCCGACATGGACCCTTCAAACAAATAACAATATAAAACCGTTGACCGTTTTCACCTGCCCTTGAAATGAGTTTTATCTAACTGTTCAACACTTTTGCGTGCTTTCGTTGAAATCGCACACTCTTACCCCGTTCGCGGATCCAAAGACAGTTCAAGACACATGCTTATCTCATGCTTTCTATCAGACGATACATAACCGACGGCCCCCCGACGCCGCTGCTGCTGCAAACACTTACCTTATCTAATTTAAGCTCCTTCAGCGCTTTCAAATTCTCAACTTCGTCATCGGCGCTTGCACCTTTACTACCGTTATTAGCGGTTGCATTCAACAGATGCGGTGGTGTCAATGAAAAACCCAAATCGACATCTTGCTTCCAGAGCACATCGATAATTTCGCTCTCCTGGAATAAGAATTTAGTAGGTGGAAGAAGTTTGAGTACACCTCGTGGCGGCCAAAACCGAAAACACATATAAAAAATTATTTTAAATATGAAATTGCACATATATATGTATGTATGTATGCGCGTGTGAAAGTAATAAAGGAATATTCCATGCCGATCGGCATATCTATATATATATACATAT